GAATGTTGGATCCCACAAAAAAGATACCCCACATCCAAGGGCAAAGGAAAAGCCCCATCAAGATGGTAGGAGGGGAGAAATCACATTTAGAATCAAACCACATACCCTCCAGAGATGCTGGAGGACTCAAACAAAACCTTGTGTGCACCAGGACCCAGAGACCCCACAGAGACTGAGCCAGAACTGCCTTTGAGTGTCTCCTGCAGAGGTATGGGTCAGCAGTGGCCTGTCTCAGGGGCTCTGGGCACAGCAGACCTGGGTCACATAGCATGTGGCGTAAGCCCTCTTGGAGGAGGTTGCCATAAACCCCACCATAGAGCCGCAGAACAGACGAACCACAAACTGCAGAACAATTATACCAAATAAATTCTTGCACTGTTAAGAAAGTTCTAGGACCCACAACAGATTTCCCAACCTGGGGATCTGGCAAAGGGACTGAGAATCTCCAGGAAATTTGACTTTGGAGGCCAGTGGGATTTTATTACAGAACATACACAAGATTGGGGAAACAGACTCTTGGAGGGCACAAACAAAACCTTGTGTGCACCAGGACCCAGGAGAAAGGAGCAGTGACAACACAAGAGACTGATCCAGACTTGCCTGTGAGTGTCCAGGAGACTCTAGCAGAGGTGTGGGTCAGGGAAGGCCTTGGCAGTGCATGCATGGGACCTTTTGAAGGAGGTTGCCATATCTTCATTACCTCCACTGTAGTTTGGTCTCAGGTCAAACAACAGCCAGGGAACACAACCCTGCCCATCAACAGAAAATTGGATTAAAGATTTGCTGAGCATGGCCTTGCCCATCGACACAAGACCCAGTCCCCCCGCCCTCACCCCCAAGTCAGTCTCTCCCATCAGAAAGCTTCCATAAGCCTCTTATCCTTAACCCTCAGAGAGCAGACAGAATGAAAAGCACAATCACAGAAAGATAATCAAACTGATCACATGGACCACAGCCTTGTCTAACTCAATGAAACTATGAGCCATGCCCTGTAGGGCCACCCATGATGGACAGGTCATGGTGGAGAGTTCTGACAAAATCTGTTCCACTGGAGAAAGGAATCGCAAACCACTTCAGCATTCTTGCCTTGAGAACACCATGAATAGTATGAAAAGGCAGAAATATAGGAGACTGAAAGGTTAATTCCCCAGGCTAGTAGATGCCCAATATACTACTGGAGAAGGGTGGAGAAATAGCTCCAGAAAGAATGAAGAGATGGAGCGAAAGCAAAAATGCCAAGTTGTGTATGTGACTGGTAATGGAAGTAAAATCAGACACTGTAAGGAACAATATTGCATGGGAACCTGGAATGTTAGGACCATGAATCAAGGTAAATTGAAAGTGGTCAAACAGAACATGGCAAGAGTGAACATTGACATTTTAGGAGTCAGCAAACTAAAATGGACTGGAATCGGTGAATTTAATTCAGATGACCATTATACCTACTACTGTGGGCAAGAAATACTAAGAAGAAATGGAGTAGCTATCATAGTCAACAAAAGAGTCTGAAATGCAGTACTTGGATGCAATCTCAAAAACAACAGAATCATCTCTGCTTGTTTCCAAGGCAAACCATTCAATATCACAGTAATCCAAAACTATGCCCCAAACAGTAATGCTGAAGAAGCTGAACTGTTCTGTGAAGACCTACAAGACTTTCTAGAACTAACACCCAAAAAAGATGTCCTTTTCATTATAGGGGACTGGAATGCAAAAGTAGGAAGTCAAGAAACACCTGGAGTAACAGGTAAATGTGGCCTTGGAATATAGAATGAAGCAGGGCAAAGGCTAATAGAGCTTTGCCAAGAGAACACACTGGTAATAGCAAACACCCTCTTCCAACAATACAAGAGAAGACTCTACACATGGACATCACCAGATGGTCAATACCGAAATCAGATTAATTATATTCTTTGCAGCCAAAGATGGAAAAGCTCTATACGATCAGCAAAAACAAGACCAGGAGCTGACTGTGACTCAGAGGATGAACTCCTTATTGTCAAATTCAGACTTAAATTGAAGGAAGTAGGGAAAACCACTAGACCATTCAGGTATGACCTAAATCAAATCCCTTATGATTATACAGTGGAAGTGACAAATAGATTCAAGGGTTTAGATCTGAAAGACAGAGTTATCTGAAGAACTATGGATTAAGGTTCATGACAGTGTACAGGAGGCATTGATCAAGACCATCCCCAAGAAAAGGAAATGCAAAAGGCAAAATGGTTGTCTGAGGAGGTGTTACAAATAGCTGAGAAAAGAAGAGAAGGCAAAGGAGAGAAGGAAAGATATACCCATTTGAATGCAGAGTTCCAAAGAATAGCAAGGAGAGATAAGAAAAGCCTTCCTCAGTGATCAATGTAAAGAAACAGAGGAAAGCAATAGAATGGGAAAGATGAGAGATCTCTTCAAAAAAATTAGAGATGCCAAGGGAATATTTCATGCAAAGATGGGCACAATAAAGAACAGAATGGTATGGACCTAGCAGAGGCAGAGGATATTTGGCAAGAATACACAGAACTATAGAAAAAAGATCTTCATGACCCAGATAATACAATGGTGTGATCCCTCACCTAGAGCCAGACATCCTGGAATGCAAAGCCAAGTGGGCCTTAAGAAGCATCACTATGAACAAAGCTAGCGGAAGTGATGTAATTCCAGTTGAGCTATTTCAAATCCTAAAAGATGATGCTGTGAAAGTGCTGCACTTGATATGCCAGCAAATTTGGAAAACTCAGCAGTGGCTCCAGGAATGGAAAAGGTCAGTTTTCATTTCAGTCCCAAAGAAAGGCAATGCCATAGAATGTTCAGACTACTTCACAATTGCACTCATTTCACATGCTAATCAAGTAGTGCTCAAAATTCTCCAAGCCAGGCTTTAACAGAAAGTGAACCGTGACCTTCCAGATGTTCAAGCTAGATTTAGAAAAGGCAGAGGAACCAGAGATCAAATTGCCAATATTTGTCGGATCATCAAAAAAGCAAGAGAGTTCCAGAAAAACATCTACTTCTGCTTTATTGACTATGCCAAAGCCTTTGACTGTGTGGATCACAACAAACTGTGCTGAATTCTTCAAGAGATGGGCATACCAGATCATGTTACCTGCCTCCTGAGAAATCTGTATGCAGTTCAAGAAGCAACAGTTAGAACTGGACATGGAACAACAGACTGGTTCCAAATCAGGAAAGGAATAGGTCAAGGCTGTATACTGTCACCCTGCCTATTTAACTTATATGCACAGCACATCATGAGAAACGCTGGGCTGGATGAAACACAGGCTGGAATCAAGAATCCCGGGAGAAATATCCGTAACCTCAAATATCTAGATAACACCACCCTGATGGCAAAAAGTGAAAAAGAACTAAAGAGCTTCTTGATGAAAGTGATAGAGGAGAGTGAAAAAGTTGGCTTAAAACTCAACATTCAGAAAACTAAGATCATGGCATCTGGTCCCCTCACTTCATGGAAAATAGATGGGGAAAACAATGGAAATAGTGAGAGACTTTATTTTCTTGGGCTCCTAAATCACTGCAGATGATGTCTGCAGCCATGAAATGAAAAGATGCTTGTTCCTTGGAAGAAAAGCTATGACCAACCTAGACAGCATATTAAAAAGGAGAGACATTACTTTGCAAACCAAGGTCCATCTAGTCAAAGCTACGGTTTTTCCAGCAGTCATGTATGGATGTGAGAGTTGGACTATAAAGAAAGCTGAGCTCCAAAGAGTTGATGCTTTTGAATTGTGGTGTTGGAGAAGACTCCTGAGAGTCCCTTGGACTGGGAGGAGATCCAACCAGCCCATCCTAAAGGAAATCAGTTCTGAATATTCATTGGGAGGACTGATGTTGAAGCTGAAATTCCAATACTTTGGCCACCTGTTGTGAAGAGCTGACACATTTGAAAAGACCCTGATGCTGGGAAAGATTGAAGGCAGGAGGAGGAGAGGACAACAGAGGATGAAAGGGTTGGATGGCATCACTGACTTGATGGACATGAGTTTGAGCAAGTTCTGGGAATTGGTGATTGACAGGGAAGCCTGGCGTGCTGCAGTCCATAGGGCTGCAAAGAGTTGCACACCACTGAGCCACTAAACTGAACTGATTTGAAATCTCCACTTGAATGTATAGCAAACTACTTAGATTGATCGTTTCCAAAAATGGACACTATCATTTTCCTTTCAAAAGAAATATCTGCCACCACCCCTCAACCATCACATGAGAGCTCTCAGAGTCTTCTTTGTCTATGCTCTTTCTAGACTCAGTTTTAGTTTCTCAGAAAATCCTGCTGACTGGGGCTTCAGAAACATGCTCCCCATCACCACTGTTGTTGCTGGTCTCACTAAGCCAGCATCTGGTTGGACTTTTCTGGAGCATCCTGAGTTCTGCAGTATTCTCCTAATAGATCTCTTGGCTTCAACTTTGCTCTCTACATGCCCTTTTAAATACAGCAGCAAAGTAATCCTTTTGGTGTCTTTCTGGTATCTAAGTCAATTTCTCTGTTCATTGCCTTCCAGTGATCCTTTCCGTTGCATTTAGATGAAAATTAAACTTCTTTAATCTTATAGAATCCAGTGCTCCTCCTTTGCTTCCTCTCTTACTTCCTCTTCTATTATTCTGCCCTTAACCTTTCTCTAGCTTGATGTTTCTAGAACATTCCAGAGTCTTACCTTAAGGCTTTTACCCTTGATCTGGTTATTTCCCCTGCTGGGAATGCTCTTTCCTCCAATACTTGTTTGGCTAACTTGCTCACTGCCTTCAAGTCCTTGTTCTATCTTATATTCTTGATTTTTCCCTGACTCTACCCCTCCAACACATCCATTCCACTTTGTTCTCCTTATCTCTTATCACTTCTCAACATGTTATAGGATGATTGTGTTTGTCTACCCCTGCTAGAGTCTAAATTCCACAAAGGTAGATTTTTTTCCTACACTGGTTCAAGGGAAAGGTCAGGCCATATATTTCATCAAATTAATGCTTGTCTTTTTTGTTTGAACTTGTAGATGCTGAGTTTGTCTATAAAACATGGAATAATCCCCACAAGAAATGGAACTATTTATTGTAGTTGGGATTTTAGGAATTCTTTTTCATTTGTGACATCCACGTTAAGCATGATAGGTGAGTAAGGTGCTTTATTTTTAGTTTAATTTAATCTTATTTTTTAAATTTAGGAGATCAGTAATTTAAATTTTTATCATAGCACGGAACTTTGTCTACATGAGTCATAACCTTTCAACCTGCAAATTCAGAGCCTGCTTTTATTTTTAAGATGATGTTTCATCAGTACACGTAGCTTCCCCTTTATTTTTTATCTTTAAATCATTTGTCCCTTCCATAACAAGTTCTGTGTTCCCATTCTCTTTAATGGGTGGTCTTGGCATTTCCACCTAGTCTTCCAACACTATTGATGAGACAAAAAACAAAGCCAGATCCAGCCAGATTTTCTAGGATTTCTGATAAACTATGATGTCTACAATTTCTCTGGAATTTCAGCTATACTGTAGCTAGAGAACTTTGTAACTTAAAAACAAAAAGTTAGAAAGTCAGCATAGATTTCTGCTGAAATTCAGACAATTCTAAGACATTTTCTTATCAACCAAGAGCCATTAGGATTTAAAAAAAAAAAAAAAAAGCATAGCTTAAGATAGCTGTAGCCAAAGACCTTCAGGATATTCCTGGAAAATGCCACCTTAGACTGCAAAGACCTCAGGCACTGTTGTGGAATTTTCCTTCTCATGGAAATAGAGAAGATTAATAAGTGATGACCATTATCCTCAAGTATGGCATACTCAGATCTATTTTCCCTTACTAAAAATAGGATGTGTATTTGCAGTTATGGAGAAGTTCAGTTCAGTTCAGTCACTCAGTCTGGACCTTTGTTGGCAAAGTAATGTCTCTACTTTTTAATATGCTATCTAGGTTGGTCATAACTTTCCTTCCAAGGAGTAAGCGTCTTTTAATTTCATGGCTGCAGTCACCATCTGCAGTGCCTGCAAATTTCCAGCAAAATGAAATTTGTTTTGAAAGTCTTAGTTGCATATTATATTTCAATAAAAAAAATTGAGATCTTGCATTTTAGGGCTCCACATGAGGTCAGAGTGTTGGGACTGGATGTTACCATGATCCCTGGTTTCTGTCCTGAGGGGAAAATCTATACTTCCAACTTTTCTGGTCATTTCCTTAGGAAAAATTCTTGGATGTAAAATGACTGCATAATATGCTTTCTCTTAAAAGCTGTGTGTGCTGCTGGGAGTATCTCTTGTAAGAAAACACCAACAACAAAACATCAAAAGTGCATCAAAAATAATACTGAGCAGATATTAAATTTGTCTCTCATCATCCATCAGGTTATGGGTTAATTGCACCCAGAACTCCTATGGGCCAGATGTTCTGTGTCTTCTATTCTTTACTGGGGATCCCTCTAACTATCATATTCCTGCAATCTGTGAGTAATGTATTATTACAACCACTTTCAGAATTTGAGAAATATCTTCGGAATATGGAAATGAAAGAGGTAAAGTCTACCAAATGATTTTTTTACATATGCTTAGGTTCATAACCTTAAGTAGAATTAACACACAACACATTACATTCTTGTTAAACACATGCTAAAAGTATATACACACACATATATATGTAGTTATACGTCTGATGTGTGATTGCTCTATTTTTTTATGGAATTCCTAGATCAATAAATGGTATTCAGACCAATATAACTATATAGTGTTTTACTTTTCTTCAGTTGCTTTTCAAAACCTACATAGAGCTAAAGTTGGACCTTGTTATATGCTTACAGACATGTCTAAACAAACTCACCAGAGAGTCACTCAAATGCACCAAATAATACATAAAATTATATCACTGATATAGAATGCTCTGAGCTTATTATCACCATACAAAGTTAAACAAAAGGAGCTATTAACAGTAATTCCACAGAAAATGAAACCTTCAATATCCCCCTTTACTGAAAGCTCTTTAAATGGTTCCAAAATACACATTAAAAGTCAGCTATCTATTTATTCCACTTTCCTCTAATTCTGCTGTATTCTGCTATGGGTACCTTACACAGGTTGGAGTATCTCCAAAGTTGATAAGGAGTGTCTGTTTCCAAATTTTTGGAGAAACAAGATATGCAAAAATTTTATAACATCAACTTTATATCCTACCAAATTTAGAAAGTACTGCTAATCCCACAATTTATAAAATTAGCGTAATCACTGCACTAAGCATATAATATGTGTTAAAATGTAAGGAAATATTTACAAGGTGTTCCAGGAACATAATAATAAAAATATGCAAAGTTCTTAGCACAGGGTCTTTCCAGTATGAGGTACTCTATAAGTAAAAGTTTAAAACATATTATTTCTAATATTGTTTTACTTGTTTGTCTCTCTCCTCTCCCTCCCAAAACTATAACCTCTGTGCGTATCAACTGTCTAATTTTTACCTTGTATCTTGAATATCTCCCATGGTACTAATAGGAAACACTCAAAAAAGGCTTGTTGAATGAATTTTAATTATACCATAAAATACATTTAATCAATTTATATGATGTAGAACTATAAATGGATTATCCAGTTTTTAGATGGGAAAATATTTTCTCTAACAATTTAAGGTGTTGGAATGTCTCTTATCAGAAAAAGATTATTTTATTTGCTCAAAAACCTTAATGTCCTGAGCTTCCATTTGGTGACTGTCCATCCTACACTCTTGCAGAGCCATTTTGCAGCAAGGACCCAGAGCTAGAGGTGAAAGCAAGCAGGTTGCAAAGCAAAAGAACATTTTACTCTAAGACCTAGGGAGAGCAGGAAGACAGTGATTGTTTTACATTAAAGTCACAAAAAGTACAATGCATGAAGAGAGAAAACAGAAGAAATAAAAGATTAGCAACAGAGATTCATAAGAAAGATGATGATTCAGTTGATGGAGCTGGGATGTACTTCTAGATGCAAAGGAAACCTGCAAGTCAGAGTTCAGTAGGACATACTGGGTCAGGAAAGGATATGTAAGAGGAAATGGTAATTGAATCGACTATAGCTCTCTGATTGCTCTTAGGTTGATGTTAACATCTTCCTTCCTTCCTTCCTCCCTCCCTCTTCTCCCTTCCACCCCTCTCTTCTTCTTTCTTTCTTGTTTTCCCTCTTTCTTTTAGACACAAATTAGAACCTGTGAGCTCCTATTTTTCTTGGTAACTGGACTTTCCATTTTCATCCTTCTACCACCATTACTTTTCATGAAAATGGAGGGCTGGACTTACAAGGAAGGATTATATTTTGCATTCATCTCTTTAAGTACCATTGGCTTTGGTGACTACATACTAGGTAAGTCAATTGATGATACTCTTAGTATTGTATTATCATTCATAGCCACAGAATCAAAAAAATTTGAAGTAAATGTATAACCAGAAAGATAGCATATATCTTACAGGGGTTACAGGCCAAAGATGTTTTAAAATTTTCAACCACCTGACAATCCACAGAAAAGTCCCAAATAATTGCTTTCCATCAAACTTTCTCCTTTGTTTGGGCCACAGAGTACATTAATTATGGGAAAATGGAACATAAGAATTCTTACAAAGGTGTTACCACTTACCCAAGCATTTAAAGCTCATGTGTGATGGAAACAGTAGGTACAAAGGATCAATCCTATGCAACATGTGTTAAGTATATTTTCCAGTAGGTAAGTTCACTTTCAAATTGCATATGGAAGAAACAAAGACCCTCCAAGACATTAAATAATCAAGTACATACCTAAATTTTAACTGTAAAATATCCAAGAAGTCTTTTGTTATAAAGGCTTATTCTATATGGCCTTTTTGTGTTTGTAACTTCCTTAAAGGAGCAAAGCAAATCTTCAGGCTATATATTTTGGGAAATTTTTCCACTGTTCTTGGCTCACTTCTGCCCCAAATTAGCATCATCATATCAGGCATCATTCTTATTATTAACATATTTTTTAAACTTAGCCCAAAGAACACAGGTACAGCACTCCAGTATGCATGTATGTGAGGCTTCCCTGGCAGCTCAGCAGTAAAGAATCTGCCTGCAACGCAGGAGTCGCAAAAATGTGGATTCGAACCCTGGGTTGGGAAGATTCCCTGGAAGAGGGCATGGCTACCCACTCCAGTATTCTTGCCTGGAGAATTCCATGGACAGAGGACCCTGGTGGGCTGCAGTTCATGGAGTTACAAAGAGTCAGACACAACTGAGTAACTAACATAAGAAGAGAGATAAATTTAGCAGTCACAGAGTGAAAAATAACTAATAGTTCAGGAAGAATACTTATAAATCTTCCAGCTCTAATGTTTACCTATTTCTGATTAATTTACCAAAAAGGACATGTATAGACATTTGGGGTTTTGTTTTTTAATCACTAGGTCACAGAGTTGAAATAATCTGTAGGAGTCACTTTATTTAGAAAGGCAATACTGAAAAAGAACATAGTATGTGTGGCATATATGGTATTGGATCAGAAATAGAAGCAATTATGCTGAAGAATGCATTGTGATGGCCCTCTTACAATGCCAGTATTTTGGAAAAATCTGGAATGGTGGGGAGTGGGAGAATTATTTGGCTGAGTGATCTTTTTGAGGGGTTGGCACATTTGGATCCCAATCCATCCTGCGAACCCACACTGCCATTTAAGGAATGAATAATTTCACTTTGTGTCTGCAACTTCCCACCTTCCCTGGCAGGTCTACCATGCCCATATACAGCCAGCCAGCTCAGGTATGGAAGATGCCACATCTCTCTGCTCACTTATGAAAAGTTTATTCCTCCCTAGAATTTAGCTAACCAAGTTTTCTTGCAGCCATTGCTTTTCTCTGGGACTACTGAAAATGATTTTCATTTTGTTTGTTCTCATTTTCACTATGGAATAGGAAAACTTTTGTATCCTCTCATTACCTAGCTGGGAGGCTTCTCTGGTAGCTCACTGGTAAAGAATTCACCTGCTAATGCAAGAGATGTGGATTCAATCCCTGGGTCATGAAGATCCCCTGGAGGAGGAAATGGCAACCCACTCCAGTATTCTTGTCTGGGAAATCACATGGACACCGGTGGGCTACAGTCCATGGGGTCATAAAAGAGTCGGACATGATTTAGCGATTAAACAATAATTACCTAGCTGGAATGGGGACTTCATAGATGTTTTAGTATAAATTTCAGGGAGTTGAGTAAGGGACTCCAATTAATGGGCCATTAAACTGGAAAACGAAGTCTTTTCAACATTCATCTTGGTCAGTGAAATTATGCTATCTTTCATAAAGTTAAGTTTGCTAAATGTATGCCACAGGTTTACATTTTATTCTCTTCCTCATCCTAAAATAATCTTAAGTGTAGTTAAAATGTGTTCTTTTGCTCAATAGCCATACTTTATCATGTGCTACTTGGCAATTTTTATTGAAGGACATATTTTCTTCATTTGCAAAACCCAGAATGCCACCAAAGTTCATATGATTATTTACATTTTGATATAAAATATTAATTTAAAGGATATTGAGAAAAAAATAGCACAGGGATTAGAGGCATACTGCCAGTGTTTATTGAGGCTCAATATAGTGTGAGATGCTGGGAATGATTGAACGCAGGAGGAGAAGGGGATGACAGAGGATGAGATGGTTGGAAGGCATCACCAACTCAATGGACATGAGTTTGAGTAAACTCCGGGAGTTGGAGACAGACAGGGAGGCCTGGCGTGTTGCTGTCCATGGTGTTGCAAAGAGCCAGACATGACTGATAGTGTGAGATGGTTGTTGGGATTATGCATATACTTTCTTTGGGTTTCTAATTATTTAAAATTGATTTTCACAATAAAAAGATACAAAATATCTGGCATATTTGTAGTCATAAAGAATAAACCAATGGCAGAGTAGGAATATATATTTGTGGGTGATACATTAAACAAAATTTGAGCTTCTAAAGGTTTTTTTTATATCTTATGCTTATTTTTAGAAATTTCTACAGCAAGTAAAAGAAATGATCCGATTAACATACACATATCCCAAACTCTTATGCACATCTGTATCTGTATTCTAATCCATCCTGTAACATGTTCAGAATTCAGCTTAATATAGTTCCACATTTTTCAAACCATACATAGAAGTAGAGCATTTTTTTAACCTTCATGTAATAGATATGTTACAAAACATTTACTGTAAATTAAATGTGTAACTATAATTCCATATTCTGTTGAATACGATATTCATTTCAGAAATTCTACTTTTTAGTTTCCAGTTGGTCTTTAATAATCGGTGGTTAGAATTTAAAAGTTGACTTTTTATGGGTATACACTACTGTGATATAGTTTATAAGGAGAAGATTGGAAGCAAAAGTTGTGCTCGAATAATTTAAATGTGATTTCCTTTTGCCTTTAGGTATAAATCCTGCTAATAATTATTCAAGTATTTATGTGGCAATAATAACACTTTGGTGTACCTTTGGTCTTACTTGGATGGCTCTTTTTTTTGATTTGATTTCAAAAAATTTGGAAAAAGCTAAAATAAAACTTACTTCCAATAAGTTATGGCAAAAAGAAAGTCAGTCTTCTTGGATAAGATTGTATTTCTGGCCTTCTCTGCGAAGATAATCAAAGAGTATCTCAAACTTTTTTTTTAAATAGTGGGACAGGTGATGCAAAAGAGAATAAACATTTTTTTCCAATAACCTGCGATATGGATCACATTCACAGTGAAGCTTTGTAATTAATATTTATTTGAATTGTATTAAATAACTAGTTGAAAACACACAATTTAAACTGTTCTCATTGAACCTTTCATTTTCAAAGGCTTTCATTATGCAACATGTGATATATACAAAATGACTTACACAATCCACCCAAGTTAAAAAGTATAATAAATTTCCATGAATCCACCATATAACTTGTGAAGTAGAATTAATGACAATACAATTGAAACTACTTGTGTGAACCTCCCCAATACCATCCTCCTGGCTCCTCAGAGGCAACAATTATTTCAACCCATGTTATTTTTTAAAGTAGTTACTCAATTTAGGCTCACACCAGAAGTGCATGTGAGTTTTCATTATTCTGTATTTTCACTTAAACTTGATATTGTCAGATTTAAAAATTTTACCCATATAATGGGTAAAGAATGTGATCTCATTGTAGTTTTGATTTGTTTATTCCTGATTACCATAGAGGCTTAGTACTTTATATTTCTGGCTATTGTTGTTTTCTCTTGTGCAAATTGCCTATTTATGAATTTTGCTCACTTTTTTTTTTACTGGGTTATTTGTATTCTATTTAGTAATTTGCAAGAGTTACTTTATTTTTAATAAACTCTGAATACTAATCTATTTTCAGTTATATTTATTGTAGACATCATATCCACTTTGTTGTTCATCTTTCCACTTTTTATGGCATATTTTGATCAGAAGTTTTTAATTAAAATGCACTTCATCTTTTCTAATACTATTTCCTTTTTTGTTTAAAGATATTTTCTGATTAATATAGTTAACAAAATTAATTGAGAACCTAATCAGTGTAAATGACTGCCCTGTAAATGACTGTGAGAAATATGGTATAGTCACTGTCTTAATGGAAATTAAACATCAGCTAATATAAGGTGCAGAATAATGAAAGCCTGTTGTGTGCCATTCACTGTGGCAAATGTTTTGAATAACTAAAACATATTGAGAATTTATATGCAAATTCTTTGCATTCATCACTTTATCTAATCCTGACAAAATCTTAGAAGTGGGTAAGTAATAACATTTCACAAATGAAGCAATAATCTATGATAATTTACCCAAGTCACTCAGCAACTAAGATGCTGAACACAGTTCATTTAAGCACTGTAATGTCCCCAAGTCATCTTTCATATATTGTAAGAAAAACATAAAATAATCCAAATCTAGCATTTACATTTTGAAGACTTGTTAAGTACAGAGCATTGATCTATATCTTCTGGTGTTCATGCATTATTTATACAGATAAATGAGTACCATAATTAGAATCAAAATGCTTTGAGATCAAAGAAGGAAAAGCCTAGGTTGAGACTGAAGAAAATTGGGATCAGCATCCACAAGAAGGTAGCTGTGATATGAATCTGTATCACCTGAAGACTCTTGTAGATGAATCAAGCTGGGATGGTAAAGAGACAGGACTTGACAATGCCCAGAAAATGGAGGGCTGAAAAGATACTGGCAGGGAGGGCAAGAGATGAGGTTGAGGACACAAGCCGGTTTTGTGTATACAAAATGAAGCTGCATCGTGGGTCGAAGGAGGACACATTTGGGACTTAAGACAGTGGACGGATAATGCTGAATTGAAAGAGATTAGCAGAGGAAAAACTCTGAAAGTTTTGTGATGCCTAGAGTCTGTTAATCACAAGGACAAAGTTTCTTGGTGCTTGCTAATGAATTGATGTAGTTATAATAGGGAACAGGAACTTCATTTACACAGGCTCAAAATGTGTACTCAGGTGTGAAAGTCTTAAAAGATGAGTCGCTGCCCAATATTGTGCCAAGAGAAGAAGTCAAGACCTTAATCTTTTGGTATAACTACTTGAGTGAGGAATCTGGCCAGAAAAGATCAACTACAGTTTTGGGATTTCTTCCCCTTGGGTAGGGAGTAGCTTTGGCATAGTGTTATAAATACTTTAGGTAAAGCCCTTATACACCTGTGAAGATTGGGAGTGGGGCTGTCATGTCTAATACACAGATACCAACACAAACAGCCAAGGAAAGTTAAAAAAAAAACAGAACAGGGAAATAGTTCCCAAACAAAATTACAAGATCAATAATCAGAAACTAATGAAATGGGCATATATGACTTATCCGACAGAGAATTCAAGATAGCTATTACAAAGATGTGTTCTACAACATCAGGAGAACAAACTGACAAAGCGAAAACTTCAACAGAAATAGAAATCTAAACAAGTACCAAACAGAAATAATGGAGCTAAATAAAATAACAGAAATGAAAAAATTCACTGGAGTTCAACAACAGATTCAACAATAAGCAGATTAAGTATTAAAAAACTTGAAGGTCAGTCACTGGAACTTACCCAGTCAAAGAAGCAAAAAGAAAAAAATAATGAAAAA